AATGCTGAACCAGGCTGAAAGAAGTAAATGATCTGGGAAGTAGGTAAGCAGTGGCCTAATGAGGAGCCAGAATAGGGCCATGGACAGTGAGAAGTAAGCCCTTGAGTGAGAGAGATATTAAAGAATGGTGGCAGAACGCAGAAGTTCAACATAAACGAATTTCATCCATCATCTTTTTTTCTGGACTAATTTTTATTCCACATGCCACCTCTGGTGGTAGCCTTGTGGAGTTCCATGTTGAGATAGACATTGAGGGTGCATCTATTATAGATTCATCAAGAAAGAATGTGATCAGTTTTCATTGTCTGAATTGATTGTGGGCAGGAGAAAGTAGAGACACATATTTGCTCTTCTGCAGTTAGGCATGATAAAGTGCATGGGCTTGTGAAAGCTGTTTTCATTAGATAAGTAAAACGCTAGTGAAGAACAGAAGGAACTATCCCTAGTACCATTTAGTATTAGGACAAATAGACCTCCATACTTTAGTAGTCTCTAGGAAGCTCCTATATAACTAATTAGGGTAGTTGAAATGATTTCCTGATTCATTAATAAGAAATCTTAAATTTAATAAATAAGCACAGTATTTTGAGGAGCTGATAAATGTTTGGGAATGGCAAATTATTTAAGCAAGTTCCAATGTGTACTTTTGCCAATGTATTTTTTCACTCAAAATATCCATTTATGGATGGATAACAGCAATGAGAAACTAAGTATGTATTAAATAGAGGAGGCAGTATGAAAATAAATTGCCTAGACTCTGCAAGTTCATTTCTTTAATCAAATATTAAGTATGTACTATATGCCAAGTACTCTTCTAGGTGCTGGAGATGCAGCTGCTTTCATGGAACTTTCATTCAAGTAGTGGTGATGAACAAATAATATATGTCATGGAAATGAAAGTCCTTAAAATATTGGCAAGATATTATCTTGAGTTTTCAGTAGTTTGACTATGATGTACATAGGTTTGGTTTGCTTCGTGGTTTTTCTTGATGCTTGCTGCACTTCTTTATAAGTTATTTTTTAAAAGGGAGGGAGGTGAATTTTCATTAATACTTAAATGTAGACTGATTTCAACTATTTGTCAGATAAATGGAAGAACAATAGGATATTGCTTACTAATTAATTATAGTCTTACATTTATCCTACAAATCGCATGTAAATAAAATCTTTTATTCTTTATATTTTAATTTTTGTGAAAATTGCAGAAATGATGGTCGAAAACCATTTGGAGTGGGGCAATTTAATTTTTGTTTTTAACATTTCTTTTTGTGTTATCTTCTTATAGATTGAAACACAATTAGCAGAGTACCACAAATTGGCTAGAAAATTAAAACTTATTCCTAAGGGTGCTGAAAATTCCAAAGGTTATGACTTTGAAATTAAGTTTAATCCTGAAGCTGGTGCCAACTGCCTTGTGAAATACAGAGCTCAAGTTTATGTAAGTTTAATCATGATATATATAAATACATCAAAAGATTGTTAAAGGATATGATTGATGTCTGGTTCATATGTTTATAAGTAAAAGCTTAAACTTTAGNTAGTCTTACATTTATCCTACAAATCGCATGTAAATAAAATCTTTTATTCTTTATATTTTAATTTTTGTGAAAATTGCAGAAATGATGGTCGAAAACCATTTGGAGTGGGGCAATTTAATTTTTGTTTTTAACATTTCTTTTTGTGTTATCTTCTTATAGATTGAAACACAATTAGCAGAGTACCACAAATTGGCTAGAAAATTAAAACTTATTCCTAAGGGTGCTGAAAATTCCAAAGGTTATGACTTTGAAATTAAGTTTAATCCTGAAGCTGGTGCCAACTGCCTTGTGAAATACAGAGCTCAAGTTTATGTAAGTTTAATCATGATATATATAAATACATCAAAAGATTGTTAAAGGATATGATTGATGTCTGGTTCATATGTTTATAAGTAAAAGCTTAAACTTTAGCGCGTCTATAACTCAGGAATAAACATAGAAATAAAACACTGAAACTTTTTATCTTCTTGGTAGTAGAAATCTTTTCTATATTGTACCTTATTCTTGGAATTATGATGCCTTTTCTTCCTCTCTACCTATTCAACTATCCAAAAAAATTTGATTGCATATAAAATAGACATCAGGATTATAAAGACAAACATAACCTGACCCTTGCTCTCAAGTTGCTACTAGTTCCCTCAGGGGAGAAAGACAAATAAGTACTCGTGCTTTGTTAGAAATCTTTACAAGGTATGATAACAAGATCAATTCTTCCCGGAGCTAAGAGAAAAGTCCCCACAGAGATGGTGAACCTGGAACAAAATCTTGAAAGATTTATGGGTGCGATCTGTGGGAAAGAGTTTGCAGGCATAAGGACACACGTGAAGACATGAAATATAATAGAGCATTAAGTGACTCTGGCAATCAATGGTGAGAAATCTGTACCTAATTTTTAACTATAGCCAAGGATGTGATTTGGGGAAGAAAATTTTTAAGTTGCAACTTCTCGATTATTCACAAATTTTAGTATTTTAGTACCCCCAAAAAAATGTCCATTTTCAAAATAGCTAATTTTTGAATATAAAAAATGTTAATTAAATTCTGGAGCTATGCATATTTTCCCTTGAGAAATATTTATTCCTTTAATGAATTATTTAGTACATAATATGTTTCATTTCAGCTAGGTACTGGAAGTAAAATACCCAGAAAGATACACTCCCTACTTTCACAGAGATTACAGTTTATTGGTAGACTTTGATTAAAAAGCTAGACTCATTTTCAATAGAAAAAATATGCATTCAGTAAGTCTCTTACTGAATTGTTTCTCAAGCAGTAGCTAGCTAGGTAGGCAGACAGATAGAGTTTACTCACCACTATTTTGAGTAATTTGACATGACTGGTGCAAGAAATAAATACCTGAATCAAATCACTGTAGACAAAATTACACATTGCAAAAAGAATGTATATGCTTAGAAAAGAAGGAAAAAAATTTTTCATTGATCTCTAGAGATAGGTTTACATAATATTAGAACAATAAAAATAGAAATAGCATCAAGAAGGTGCCACCCCAACTATTATAAGTAGTATTTGGAGAAAAGTACTTAAAGAGATTAAAGAGACCACTGCATCTTTTAACATAGAGCAGCCAAAATTAAAACCAATAACTTCAAAGACCTACTAAAAACATAGTAACATACAGAGTTTTCTTTTGGAGTGATGAAAATGTTTTGGAACTAGAGGTGATG